TTCCAGATCGTCCTGTGGACGTGTATACCGACTCTGCTTTTGTGGTCCGCATCATTCAGGCTATTGCGTCCCGGACCCTGAAGCCACGTGATTTCCACATGGCACATTATGACCTGATATGCAGTCTTAAAGATTCATGGCATCCAAACCTTTACCAAATTCATAAAGTTCAGTCTCATCGCTCTAAATCTGATGCCACGTGTCTGCAAGACTTGTATGGTATTATTGGAAACGATCTCGCCGATGAGGCGGCCAAGCTTTTAAACAACCAGGATATGGATGCTATGCAAAATGCAGTGTCCCATATTTACGAACATAGTCAGTGCCAGATGCATCTCCTTTTTCTCATATACACCTACTTAGCCGATTTGAATCACCTACACGTATCTCTACAACTCTCTGAACCGGACGGTGCCGCAGAAAATCATCAATTTAATAATGTAGATGCTCTTCAGACTTTCCGACATAAGCTGTCGCATTGGACACTGACTTCGCCGCCGTGGCAAGTTACACTCACATTAGTGCCAGTGGTCGCCAAGGCCTGTAATGCCGGTGCACAGATTGCCCATATGGTATGGCATTTCTTCTTGTCACTTAAATGGAGACATCCGGATGTTCCAAACACCCCCGGGGATTTCGGTATTACATGGATTGAACTCGCGATCCATTTCATTATATTCGCAGGTAAAGGCCTCCCGATTTGGGTATATGATCCAACGATCAAACTCCATAGACCATATGAGTTCGACTCTCCTGAAGCTCAAATTCAGCCAAAATCTGCCCATGCTCTGTGCCATCAGGCTTCCACGTTACGGGGCATCGTGAGGTATCTAGAAGGTACGATGCAGTGCCAACTCTTTCCACGGTATAAGAAAACCTGTGCTTCCTCGCTTGTTCGTTTGGGCTTCCATCGCACATTAGTAGGTGGCATGGCCGCCCGCCCTGAATTGCCTCATTCTGATGTGGCCATGAAGATGATCACGGAATACTCGGCCTTACCGGACCAGCCATATCCTCTCAATGTCCGATTGCCATTTCCAGTGTGCCGTGACTTCGCACAGCACTTTCCAGATCTACCATCTGAACCTACTTTTTCTGCTCGACATAATCTCTATCAGAGAGTTCGCAAAAACATTCGCCTCAAGAAGTCGCTTGATGAATTGGTTGTTGACTGAGTAGCTTCCCCTAGCTTCCGGTAGCCGTTAATTCGCTTTTTCTCTTGATCTGTGTCTTAAACCAGTTCAGGGAGTTTTGCGGCGCACGTGTCTTTTCACTTGGGATTCTGTGATATAGTCATGCCCTCTAGCACCCCACTTAGTGGAAGGGCTGTGAGGGGCGGATCGTGGACCGCAAGCTGTGTGTGAGACTTGACATGTGATTTTTGGAGGAAGTCTCGTACGAAACGCTCGTTTTGGAGACTTGACGTGTGACGTTTGGGGGAAGTCTCGTACGAAACGCTCGTTTTGGAGACTTGACGTGTGACTTTTGGAGGAAGTCTCGTACGAAGAGTGCCCTACAAGAGTGTCCCGTATGAGCCCCATAAGAGTGTCCCACAAGAGTGTCTCACAAGTGTGTCCCACAAGAGTGTCCTACAAGAGTGTGCTACAAGAGTGTCCCGTAAGAGTGTTCCACAAGAGTGTCCTACAAGACTGTCCCACAAGAGCGTCCTACAAGAGTGTCACGTAAGAGTGTCCCACAAGAGTGTCTCACAAGAGTGTCCCGCAACAGTGTCCCACAAGAGTGCCTCACAAGAGTGTCCCACAAGAGTGTCCCACAAGAGTGTCCTATAAGAGTGTCCCACAAGAGTGTCCTACAAGAGTGTCCCACAAGAGTTTCCTACAAGAGTGTCCCACAAGAGTGTCCCACAAGAGTGTCCCACAAGAGTGGCCTACAAGAGTGGGATAAAGTCGAGTTCCGCAACTGCGCAGGATTCCGCAAGTAGGATTCCGCAACTGTTTGGTCGGATTCCGCAACTGGGATTCCGCAACTGGGATTCCGAAACTAGGATTCCGCAACTAGGATTCCGCAACTAGAATTCCGCAACTAGGATTCCGCAACTAGGAATCCGAAACTAGGACTCCGCAACTAGGATTCTGCAACTGGGATTCCGCAACTGGCGTTCCGCGACTAGGATTCCGCAACATTGTGGACTCCCTCACTAGGATTCCGCAACTTTGTGAGTGATGAGGGATGTCGACATCACACGATGGGGACAAGGGGGGGTTGGGGGGTGGAGGGGTTGGGTGGGGGGCTAATGACGTTGGTTTGGATGTGCTTCGAAGGTGATGTCACAGGCACACGCTATCGCATGATGTGGAGATCACCAGTTGCAAGTTTCAGAAGGCAAGTTGCAGAATCTGACTTTCCAGTTTCAAAATACCAGTTGCAGAATCTGACTTTCCAGTTTCAGAATACAAGTTTCAGAATCCCAGTTTCAGAATCCTAGTTTCAGAACCCCAGTTTCAGAATCCTAGTGTCAGAACCCCAGTTTCAGAATACCAGTTTCAGAATCCAAGTTTCAGAACCCTAGTTTCCGAATCCGATCGATTAGTTTCCGAATCCGGCTCTAACCTACAAGAGTGTCCCACAAGAGTGTCCTTCTAGAGTGTCCCACAAGAGTTTCCTACAAGAGTGTCCCACAAGAGTGCCCCACAAGAGTGTCCCACAAGAGTGTCCTACGAGAGTGTCCTACAAGAGTGTCCTGTAAGAGTGACCCACAAGAGTGTCCTACAAGAGTGTCCTACAAGAGTGTCTCACAGAGTGTCCAACAAGTGTGTCCCATAAGAGTGACCACAAGTGTGTCCTACAAGAGTGTGCGACAAGAGTGTCCCGTAAGAGTGTCCCACAAGTGTCCTACAAGAGTGTCCCACAAAATTGTCCTACAAGAGTGTCCCGTATGAGTGTCCCACAAGAGTTTCCTACTGGAGTGTCCCACAAGAGTGTCCCACGAGAGTTTCCTACTGGAGTGTCCCACAAGAGTGTCCCACAAGAGTGTCCCGTAAGAGTGTCCCACAAGAGTGTCCCACAAGAGTGCCCACAAATGTGTCCTACAAGAGTGTCCCACAAGAGTGTCCCACAAGAGTGTCTCACAAGTGTGTCCCACAAGAGTGTCCGACAAGAGTGTCCCACAAGAGTGACCCACAAGAGTGTCCTACAAGAGTGTCCCGTAAGAGTGTCCCACAAGAGTGTCCTACAAGAGTGTCCCACAAGAGTGTCCTACAAGAGTGTCCCGTGAGAGTGTCCCACAAGAGTGTCCCGCAAGAGTGTCCCGCAACAGTGTCCCACAAGAGTGTCCCACAAGAGTGTCCCCTAAGAGTGTCCCGCAAGAGTGTCGCGCAACAGTGTCCCACAAGAGTGTCCTACAAGAGTGTCCCACAAGAGTGCTCTACAAGAGTGTCCCACAAGAGTGTCCTACAAGAGTACCCCACAAGAGTTTCCTACAAGAGTGTCCCACAAGAGTGTCGCAAGAGTGTCCCACAAGAGTGTCCTACAAGAGTGTCCCACAAGAGTGTCCCACAAGAGTGTCCCGCATGAGTGTCCCACAAGAGTGTCCCGCAAGAGTGTCCCGCAACAGTGTCCCACAAGAGTGTCTCACAAGAGTGTCCCTTAAGAGTGTCCCGCAAGAGTGTCCCGCAACAGTGTCCCACAAGAGTGTCCTACAAGAGTACCCCACAAGAGTTTCCTACAAGAGTGTCCCACAAGAGTGTCCCGTATGAGTGTCCCACAAGAGTGTCCCACAAGAGTGTCTCACAAGTGTGTCCCACAAGAGTGTCCTACAAGAGTGACCCACAAGAGTGTCCTACAAGAGTGTCCTACAAGAGTGTCTCACAGAGTGTCCCACAAGTGTGTCCCATAAGAGTGACCACAAGTGTGTCCTACAAGAGTGTGCGACAAGAGTGTCCCGTAAGAGTGTCCCACAAGTGTCCTACAAGAGTGTCCCACAAAATTGTCCTACAAGAGTGTCCCGTATGAGTGTCCCACAAGAGTGTCCCATAAGAGTGGCCCGTAAGAGTGACCCACAAGAGTTTCCTACAAGAGTGACCCACAAGAGTGTCCCACAAGAGTGTCCTTCAAGAGTGTTATTTGGACATATGTAGCTTTTCGAACGTGTTTGCATTCGGGTTCGTTGGTTTCATCTTGTTTTGTTTTTTCTACTGTATTTACCTTGCGGGTTGTTCCGCCGGCCCTTTTGGGGAGGGGGGGGAGGGGGGGGAAAGTTAGACTTGTCAAAAATCCGCGCCGTGGGTACAATTAGACTAGAAACAAAACTACTACTAGGATAGCATACAAACCAATCACCTAAAACAAGCCGCGCCCAAGGGCCGGCGGATTTCCTTGTTTCTTCTTGACCGATTCCAACGCCTAAAAGCTGAAACCGAGGAATCCAACATTTCGTTGCCGTTAAACGTGGCCGGTTCGGTGTGGGTGATCGTCCTTATGCCACGTTCTTCTGCATGTTTTCAACCATTCCCTCCAGCATGGCAGAACAGCATGTGTGGATGTAGCGTGTCCTGTGCACCCTTATGCATCTCAGCTCCTGGTGGCAATTTCATTTCATGATCTTTTGCTGCCTGATGGGTCTGGAGGGTGTCCCTAACCACATCCAGCCAGAAAAAACCAGAAGAGAAGCAGTTTCCACAAAGGGAAAGGAGGCAAGTCGAATGGAGAGAAGAATTCGGAATTTTAGTATTTTCTTTGAGTCTCATTCCATTCTCTTCAGGGTTTCCTGCAGGGTTCGCCTTCGCTTCGCCAACGCGGCGCACTTACAGACCCCTGCTAAACCGAAGAAAGAGCTGGGACATGCTGGAACAGAAACAACTGATGGAGTTTACGTGACACTGGATCTTGATACACATTGACTCACGATCGATGTACGCCCTTCTTTCTTCACATCGGTGCTTTCCGGATCTCGGACCGTGCGGTGTGGTCGTCCAAACTCCGATTCGACCTCCGAGTTGTCCGATAGACCTCGTCGATGGTTCTTTTTCCGACCGGATCAGGAGCGTGAACGCTTGGCCATGCTCTGCTGTCAGCGGCTCTTGGAGTGGATCCAGGCAGCTCCACCAGGCGCTGCCGAGCGTTTCTGTGCAACCTTCTACGGAACGCTCGAACTGCACATCCAGAAGCCCAGGTCCATGTCCTTCATGTAGACTTACCACCGTAGAAGTTCATGTAGGCTATATTTGGTACCACCCAAAGTCTAAAGGAGATTCCTGAACTCGGGTCACCTAGTCAGATAATGTTTAAAATCGTTAAGTGGACTTCAGGGACTTGATTTCAACTCCCCTAAGCCTGAAAAGGTTTTACAGGGTTTTACCACACACACACACAACGGCAGAAGGTTCCGGAGGGGTCGACGGTTTTTCACCGGAGTGGAGCTTTCGCTTTTTGAAGGAAGTGGCTTTTGGAAGGCATTGGAACGCAATGCGACATGGATTCACCTCGGTGATGCGAATTGTTCAAAAGGGGATTCCTGCAGGATTTGCGGGAGGCGTTTGGGGCATTGTGGTGGCAAGATGTTATGCGGGTGATGCGTTCTATTGTGGCAGATGGTGATGTTGTGGGGCATTTTACCAAGTTGTGGTTGTCCGTGGCTCTCCTTTTGAAGGTGGCCACCTCCCCCAGATTTGCTTCTTCAGGCGCCCTACCGGAAGCCCGGCCTGGATCCCTATCGGCAGGGCGGCTGTCGATCCTGGTGAGGTACATCTTCCATCGGCATTTTGGATGCCACCAACACCACCCTCCTGCGTCGGCAACGAGTCCTCGAGACGTGCTTTGCAGCAGCGCAAGAGGCACACCACGATGAAAAGGCGAGAGTTCACAGCGGCCCATGTCGGGCGAGAAGAACCCCGTCTGGTGGGAGAGTTCACAGCTGTGAGGTAGCTGCAAACATCGGATGGGATGAAGGAAGATTGAGGGAGGGGACTCTTGTAGTTCCACCGATGTGGGTATGATTTTTTTCCTGCGGTCTACTGGTACGGCGTAACGTTTATGAGTTGTTTGGTTGATACCTGTCTCCTGTGGATATTTGGATATTAGGCCATAAATAACAACAATAATATATTCTGAATAACGCCTTATTAAACCATAAATAATGGTTTTATTCAAGGGATTACAACACCATATTACTGTAATGCTGTAGATTGAAAAGCACAACAAAAATAGAGGTAGTCCATGAATGATAATATGGCGGGAACCCTCAACAAATGATTAAAGAAGGATTAAAATAAACAAGAAAGATGAACCATAAAATAGAATAAGCTGATAAAAATAAGAGGGACTCAACCAAAGATCACCAATAAATGACATGTTGTTTGTAGATGGAGAATTCACATCAAAAGAATTCTGTAAACCTAATGAATAAATTAAGACACATAGATTGCAACCTCAATAAATTCAAGAAGATATAAATGAAAAGGTTGCAATTATTAAATTTATTCCTGATGCTCTAGCCTAGCCAAGATATGTGGGTGATGATAATAAGAGAGAACAAAATAGACTTGCGATCTATTTAACCAGTGCACTTCAAAGGGGCAAGTGGAATGGTGTCCTTAATGCATAGACCCTCCAAACCGAACTGGCATCCTGGCAACTCCTCACGCGAAGACTTCTGCCAGCTAGTCCATTCCAACTTGAAACCCAGAACTCCACATCCCACAACTCACCCGCTTGGACTGAAGAGAGAAAAACCCGCCCCTCACGACCCGCGCAGTCCGCGCCGCTTCGGGTGATCTTCCTGGAATCGCTCTGCAGCGATCCCAAGTGCTTCGGACGCACTGTAGCTGGGAGAAGTGGGAACACGGTGGGTGCACGAGGAGGTGGGGGCGTTGCTGTGTGGGTTGCGACATGGGGAATGTTCCGCAGGGTGGGAACAGAGCCTAAGTTGGGAGCTCTTGGTCTTATGTGACCTCGTGCAAGAAAAGGTTTTGAGGTGAGGAAGATCAAATCACCGGTATCACGCTCCTTGGAGTGGACGGAAGAAGGTTTTGCTCCATTCCTGCGGGCCATCGGTCCGTAGACCGAGATGCTGCTCCCTAGGATATTGCAGGACAACTACCAGATGAAGCTGAGCAATGACGACTACAAAGGCTCTTGGTTCCTTTTTTTGCTGCCTTTGTGCTCCCAAAACTTTCGGCTACTCTCCCGCCCTCGGCATCCGAAGGGGCTGGCCCTCCCTCTTGCTGCACAGAGACACAGAGAGGCCTTAGGTGTGACACGTTTCTAGAAAGACCCTTGAGGGACATCCAGATCCGACTGAACACGGAAGCGGAGCTCGCCACCGAGTCATGGTCTTCGGATTTCATGGATGTTCATAACAAGAAGCTACTAGGGGCTCCTGGCCGTACTGCTAGGAGCAAGGACGCTACTAGGGGCTCCTGGCCGTACTACTAGGAGCAAGAAGCTACTAGGAACAAGAAACTACTAGGGGCTCCTTGTGCAATGCTCATCCGAGTCTCTCCCAGTCTTCGGGGTCTCCGAGTCTCCCATCCACTGCCGCTGTGCCGGAAGCCCCGGTGTTTGGGGAGACGAGTTGCGGCGCTGCCCCGGTGCTCCGGCGCAGGTGCCGAAAGCAGCGCCGCCTTGGATGATTTCAAGAAACGTGGACTGCTGGCGGTTTCGGCGTTGACGGAAAGAGCATGGCGGTTTCAGCGTCTTCTACGGAAAGAGAGGTTGGTTTAGACTCTACCTGGAATTGCACATGGGAGGGGCTGGGTAGCAACGCAGTGACTTCGGGGTTTCTGATTCTTCCTGTCCTGTAATAAATTCAACCAAGAGCAACTACCACCTTCCAACAGGTGGTTTTTGGACACCCCCTTCGAGCTATGAATTGGTATAGAATTGGTTCCTATGTGTGACCCACTCCCCAGTGGGTCACACTTCACACGTCGTCCGCATCCCCGCCACAGTGCCAAGATACGCAGAAAATCACAAGAAATACAAGTTCCCACGGAGCCCCGTTCGTAGCATCCTTGCTCCTAGTAGTAAGGCCAGGAGCCCCTAGAAGTTCCCCCTGTAGCAGTCTGTGCTGCTCTTCAAAAACCTTGGCGCGGCGAGGTGTTGAAGCCTATGAGGCACAGTACGAGCCTTTGCAGGAGCAACGTGAGTGAACGAACAGGTTGCAACTGCTTGGGGGCCCAGGAATCGTCTGGGTCTGCAGGGTCCTTGTCTGTTTTGCACAAAAACCGCCTTTGGAACTTGGGTTTTGGAGAGTTTTGATTGGAGTTAAGCGAAGAGGTTTCAGCGGCCTGGCCTGGATCTGGGCAGGTGAATCACCGCCTCCTTGGAAGGTCATACCAGGCGTCAGATCGACGACCAGACAGCCGCATGTACTTGGATGCCACAAATTGGATGCCGCAAATTTTGGAGCGACTAACTCCAAGAGGGCATCGCTACTAGGGCATTACTACTAGGAACAAGAAGCTACTAGGAACAAGTGCATCGCTTCTAGCAACAAGTGCCTTACTAGTAGTACAAGAAGCCATTAGAAACAAGGGCATCGCTTTCCCCGGAACAAGAGGCTGCTAGTGACATGCGACCATCTTCGCCCGGCCGTCACCGTCGGGGGCCCGGTGGGCCTCCGCGTTCAGGAGGGCGAATTGGACTTCACGCAGAACCGGCCCAGCGATGCGGCGATGCCGGTGGGCTCCGTGCAGAGCCTCGACCGAAAGAGCATTGTGAGGTGGGGTTCTCTGATGGGGGAAGATTCGGCCAGATGAGGAGATGATATGAAAGGAGTGGTTTCTGCACATGCATTCCGTCTTGTTTTGAACAACAATGGAAGAAGCTATCCAAAAGCCGACCATTAGAAGTCAAACATAATCTGCCGGGAAGGTTCCCCTTTCAATTCCCCTTTCAACTATGTGGTCAAAAACTGGCTGGCAGCTGGATGTGAGAGAAAGATATCTAGGAGCTGAATGGGAAGAAAGCAGAGGAAGGATCTCCAAGATCCAACGTTCTTTTTTTTTCCAATAGAGTGGACCCTCTAAGCTTCTTGATCCGAAACAACATATTTCGACCACGGAAGCGCACCTTAGCGCAGTCGGGGGGGAAGTGCGACTTTCGATGTTTAAAGGAGAAAAAGAACATGCCAGTGGGTACGTACGTATATCTCCAGAAACTGAGCTGAATAGTCAGTTCAAGCAAAGAAAAGGTGGTGTTCAGATACCCATGGGCGTGGTTCCTTTTCGTTTACTTATATAACATCCCAAAATCTCAATCATCCCCATGCCGCTCTGACGCCGAAGTGCCATGTCCTGTCCGACTGCTGAGGATCTACGACGGAGGGCAAAAGATCACATGCTGTCGAACTGGGAGTTCTTGGGCTGCGAACATGGCAAGTTGAAGCTTTTTTCAATGTTTCAGCAAGTCTGGGCATGTCGCTTCCCTGTTTTTCCCCGGAGTGGGCTGGCTTGACCATTTGTCTGGGTACAGTAATAGCTGAGAAAATTTTCGGAAAAGGCATTGAAGCAGTGTCGGTTTTAGGCAATCCTTCAAATCAGTGAGCTTAGTAGTTGTTGAATTCATAAGGATAACCTGGTTGTCAGCATGGTCCTCACAGACATGATTTCCCTGCCAATTCTGTGGTGGCTACCGAAAAGATTCTCCATGAAGACCTCCAAGCCTAAAATGTATACTGTACGTGTTCCGCCGGCTTTGCAGGTTCCCTGGTGGCGGCGCCGCTGATCTCCCTCTTGCACGCGATGCACCTCACCAGGTGGTCGAAACCGGATCGATGTGAGTGTGCAGATGCTTCTGCATGGCTTTGGGTCTTTCAACTGGGAGAACTTGGTTGATCACGGAAAATGAACCCGACTAAGGAGGTGAACCTACCAGGGTTTAGGAGCCCAGGTTTTGAGCCACTGCGAGATCACAGCAGGCTACTGTTGACTGTCAGTGTTGTCCTAGAAGTGATAGAAATTGAGTGACCTCTATTTTGGACCACCAACCACCCAGAATACAGCTCTTTCCTATCAAAACAGGGCCAAATGGGCTGGAAGGTGATACATATCTATCCAATTACATATATATATATATAATATGTATATATATATATATAATCAACAGCAAAAAAGAGTTTTCTTTTTTGATCTTTTTGCCAGACTGCGAATGTGTCCAAATCTGGGTGATATTTTTTTGGATGTGCGTGATTTACCTGGACCTGGATTGAAGTGGGGATCGACCTGGCGGTGAATTGCACAATGGTCTTGCGGAAATGGACTTAAATCCTAGCCTTCCAAGACTGTTTCAAAAATGGTTCACCTGGTTTTGTAGTGTAAAATCCTTAGCAAAACAATGGTTGTTGGATTCTTAGATGTTGTTAGGTTGAGCCTATGCAATCAATGGGGTTGGAAACCTAGGTTTGTATTCTGGCTTGGTTCCAGGTGAGCATGGCGAGCTCAAGATTTCGGTTGCGACCCCCACGACTAAACCTTGTTGCCCGGTTCCAATTGTCCTACGACGGCCACAACGGTCAACAGGTTCTTTCAATCTTAGACAAGGAAGTAGGCAAGCGGTGTCATTTCGGGGAAGATGTTTTCGCCTTGATCGGTGGGAGGGGGGATGTGCTGAACCTCGGTAGTGGCGCCTTCTTTTGTTCAATGACCGAATCGACGAGCCACTGTTTAGCTGAGCATGTGGAGGTGAACGCAGTTCGATGATCCTTCTTGGCATGTCAATCTGCGAAATGTCAATTCCTTCATTTCAGCTTCCCCACTTCTCTCACTGTTCCAGTTTCTTCCCCCCAGGCGACAAATCTTGCTGGCGCCGGAGTCCAATAGCGCGGGTCAGGCGAGGAGACGATGGGCGAAACAGCACGGTGGAGGGTTTTGGGGCGAAGCAGCACGTTGGCGAAACACGCGGAATCACCAGGACCTTGGAATGGTTGGGCAGATGGTGAACTCTTCATATGACGGGCTTTGTTATGCAACGGTCTGCATTAGGTGAAGAAACAAGCACTTTTTCGGGGTCCGTCCTAGGCTGGCAGAGCGGTGAGATATGAGCCGCCTCTCACACAGAGCATTTGAACTTCTGTGTCTCATCGTTGAAGGAATCCCCTAAGCATGGAGGCTGCTTTTCCATTTCTTTGCGGTATTCGGTCGTCTCCGAAGTCTCACGTTTCTGGGGTGGCTGTTGTATTATATAGGATTGTTCGAATTTTGTCCACTAGGTATCTTAGGTGCCATGTTGACAATGCCGGCTCTTGCAGGAATTTCTCATACAAGATCACACAACACAAGGACAGATCGACATCTGTGATTTCTTCTCCAACACCCGCGCAAACCGCTTGCACCGCACGTGCACCGCACACGTCGTGCCATCAGGGTTTGCCTCCGCAGAGCTTCGTTGAGATTCTCAAGAACGAAGAAGAGAAGGAGAGAAGCTGGATTGAACGGTTTGCTTGTTTTCAAGTTCCACTTGAAGACCGCTCTTCGATTTTAGCAAGTGCAGTGCAGCTCTTCGATTTCTTGGTTGTTCAATCATATCCCATTTTCCCTTGCACCGGCTCAGATTTCCACCACACCAAGCACCCCAACCGGCTTGGATTTGTCGTTACCCTCCTTCCAGCTCCACCTGCCCTACGGGCCCTGAAAAATGTCCAGTTCCATCATACATCCTCTGCAACCCACTTGCAACTAAAAGTGACGGTGCCCGAAGCCCCGCTGCGCAGGAGGGGCGGATCATGGACGTGATCTGTGGGGCTTCGAAGCATGCGGTGCGGATCGCGCAGGAGCTTTCAAAGGTCACACCGAAGACACGGTCCGTGGCTTTCGGCGGTTTTGGGGTCAGGAGGTGAAATGAGTGGAGGTTTTGGGGTGAACTTGGACTCCTCTGGTGTTGGATGGAGCCAAGAATCTACTGGTGTTTATATTGTAGGAATTTGGCTAGGTGATTTGCAGGGGTTCTCTTGAGCATGTTGCAGCAGGAATGATCAGGAAAAGTACACTTATGGTAGATTGATTACAGTAGAGCATTGTGATCATTCCTCATGTCAGGACCGTTTAAGCTCGCCGCTCTCGTCATACCGTGGTGCAACGAAGCGGGAATTGCGAAGCGGGAACGGGGATTTGTAGGCAAAAGTTCTGTCTCTTCTTAAGAGTTTGCATATCCTGAAGTTACTGGTGCAACCCCCATGTCATTATGAGCTGACCCACAAGTTTACTAGTCTAATCATCAAATCTTGGTACCAGGACTCCGTTCAACATTTTGATTCTTCTCATCAACTCCTACAACCTCGAAACAGTTCAAGAAATGCATCGCGTTACATCCCTCAAATCTCGAAGTGATACCACAAAAAGGAACAGTTCCTCACAATTATTGCCACTTTCAACTGCGCCAGGTGCCTTCTGTGCCTTCTGCCTCCGGCGTCGCTGCGGGCGCCCCGCGTGGCCGTCCCCGCTGTGTGCTGAATCTCCGGGCGCTGCAGGGCCGCTCCGCGGACGGCGCCGCCGACGGTGCGGCGACGGCGGAGAGCTATGCAGACCTGGTAAGACGGATGCGGGTGGAGGCGGGAGACGGATGCGTAGGAAAAGCTCCGGGAGAAGCACCGTTTTTTTTTTTCAAGTCCATCAATGTTCATACCTTAAATCCATGTTGCTACAAGAGAGGTACTTGGTGGGCCAACTCGGAGTAGTGAAGTGTGAAGAGAGGGGAACGTCTGCAGAAAGGTGGTTCAAAAGACCACCCGCGCTTTGGAAACCTCTGCTGACCTCGACAGCAATCCAAGAGATCAAAGATGGGGTCCCAAACCTAGAAGAATTCCTAACTCTACGGCAATGAAGGCCTCTGCAACTTGCCTTTGTGGTTCCCTTTTTGCTGTGATGTCAAGTATGTCAATGGCCACCAAAAGCCGAGAAAAATCACCTGTTGCGCAGGTGCTCCTGCTGCTGGAGCGCCTGCCACGATCAGTCCTTGTCATTTGCCCCGGTGAGGATGTGCTGGGGCGCCTGGAGAGCGCGCAGCACAGAACACGCACCACAGAACAGGTTGTGTCAACCAGTAGGTGACCATGGTGGAAGGTGGAGTACCAGCACAGTTTTGGTGAAGCCTGCTGGCAGTCATACAAGTCATTGGAGGTCATCAACTGTATGTCAGGTTTTTGGGAAAGGCGGGACGTGTTTCCGGTCTTGTTGGTGAGGTTCTTGCATTTCTGCTTCAAACCGCTGTTTTTCCAAGACATGCGGGTGGTGCCTAAGCAGGGGAAGATCTAGACTTCAAAGGTCTGAGGCACTGAGACTCTCAAGTCGAAAACCACCAGACACTCCGTATGGGAAATTCGATTGCGTGCGGGGAGAGCGATATCTCTTCGAAAACAGCATGCATGCACAGGACCTTGGGGCCATGGAAGGGACAACACTGTCTTTCAGGGACACGTCAAGTCACAAAACTTCTTTCCAAGTCTCGGAGCCGCCAAAGTTTTGAGAGATATCTATATCATTCTGATTCATTCGTCACTTGTATCCATGCATCTGCATGCTTTGAAGTGAATTCTGTTGGCCATTGAGTCATTCATCTTGTCGTCGCTCCAGGCGCAGGGTGCTCTTCGCCCACTTCTGCGGCTGCTCCGAGGTGGATGTGAACCATGGCACTCTGGGGTGCCCATCTGTGACAACCACATCAAAGACGCTATAGACTCTGCCCCTGACTCAATAGACAGATAGGTTTGGTGTCTCAGTTCACTTTTCTTGTTGCATGGTGTTCGATGGGAAAGCCTTTAGGTTTGAGACATCTTGACAATCTCTGAGGCCACGTAGCTCTGTCTGATGATGGACAAAGTACATGAATACCCACGTGCTCCATTGCGTGCGTGTGTGTTTGCCAGAGGGAGATATTCTATTGTACCCCTGCAGGGTTTTCTTGAGTCTCACTATTCTAAGACACAGCGGTTTTTGACATAAACACCTACCTGCTTGTTGATTGTCCAATTGGAAGAGTGACACAAATTCAGGATGCTTCCAATCGTATCGCGGGATTGTTCACATGTGTTTGCAGGGTTGAACCGGTCACGGTTTGTGTTCTTCCCGTGTTGCCATAGAAAGAAAGCACACACACACACTCACCAGAAGTGAGGGGCATGTAGTATGTCATATCCTTACAGGGTAGTAATATACACATTTCTACATGTCGTACATCACCACAGGTTTGGCAGTTTTGCGACGTTGGCACACTTTTCTATTGGAACAAAGTCCTATTCCGCAACACTCCATTCTTCTGAAACTTATTTAGTACTCTTCAGCAACTACTCTTCAGAAACTATTCTTCAGAAACTATTTGGTGATCTTCAGAAACTATTTCGCGATCTTCAGAAACTATTTCGCATACATGCCTGTTTTACGATCTGCAGAAACTTTTTCGTGCAGGCTTGATGTTGCTCTTCGACTCTTGGTAGTTTCCGAACATTAGTTTCCGAAGAAAACCGTAAAGTGTCCGAAGATCACCTTTTAGTTTCCGAATAGCACTTTGACCTTTCTATTGTTTTAGTTGATTTGTCCCTGTTAATGTCCCAAAACTGCGCAGCGCAAGAAAACTCAGAGTTTAGTAGAATAGAAGGCTGGCAATTTTTTTTGTTACAGTAGTAAGTGTATATATAATATCTGTAATCTGTCTTTATATATACATATACTTACAATAACATGTATATATATATATGTATTACTTACAGTATTATATATACATATTATGCACATGTCATCTCTCGCTATACATTATGAATATGTGTCATCTATATCTATTACATGTATTATATATATACGTATAGTAGTATTTGCTCGCTTATGATTGTTTTCAACCAAGCGCTGACCCTGCCCCGCAGAGCTGAATTGGAATCTAGAACGGTCAATACAGAAGAACGACCAGGGCCAGGTATTTTTCGATTTGAGTTTTCGATGCATTCCAAGTTGAAGAACCTGTCAAAGAGGAGCTCTGAAGCAGTTCAGACCACTGCATCTGAACAGCTTTTGGAACACATTGCATGGATCGTCGCCGTTCCTAAATCGTGTTCCTGGAAAGATGGCCGTCCTATCCACAGATCAAATCGTCCGTTGATGACCCGTCGACGTGTCAACGTGAACAAATCGTCGGTTTTCCACCGTTTTCAGGCCCATTTCGATGGGCTGCGTGGTCTCTTCTGGATACTCCCCCCTATGCCCTTTTTAGTTGCAAAACCTCTCTCCCCGCGGATGACTGGGTAGCCCTGCTGCTCGGTACAGTGCGATTCTTTGCGCTCCCCGAAAAGACCGGAGCTCAAATCCCCAAGCCCCAAAAAGTGGGCCAAACCATAAATCAAACACCATTTGAGAATTAAGCCCTAAAAGTCTTGAGGGGGGGATATGGCTGTGGGTCAAACACCCGGAGCCCGTTGTTTTCCCTGGAAGATTGACTTCCCGTGTAGTCTATTATGTTCATTTAGGATCGATCGGGTGGGTTACGGCCATGAACCACAGCCATGTGGGGATGGGTTGTTCAACTGCTCCCAAGGCCTAGTCCACATGTTGCAATGTAGCTCGACTTTCCAGGTGCCTCCGCTCGCCGCTGGGTCCCTCCGGTGCCATCAACCACCATCTCTCTCTCCCTGGGTCTTGGTGCCAGAAATCCATTGCGGACCTGGAGATGCCCAGCTGGGCAGTCCTCGAGCTCACGCGGGACCACAAGGTGCATGGGTCCTCGATGTAAGACTCGTGACAGCTTACTCACCAGACATGTAGATACTAATTGTATGCGAATCTATAGGAATGTTTTTGATGGTCACATGATTTCACACAACTGTTATCGTATCCAAAGTTACAACAGACTCCTGGTCTTTTTCGCGGGTGGTTGAGTCACCAGTTCACCCCTTTTCTCCACGAACGAAGTGGGTCACCAGGCTTTTGTGACCCGGCTGTCGTCCCCGGGAAGATCGCTGTGAGCGAGCCATGCGCCAGGGCTATTCCTGTGAAGAGTTGGAACTTCAACAACAGCCGCGGCACAGCCTCAGTGGCCCCTCGGCGGGATTGGAGGAATGCTGCAGAAAGGTGGTGACTTGGTCGAAAGAGCAAGTCTTTATATACTCAGCACATATATATATATATCGAAATTGTGAATTTCCAACCTTTCCCAACCATGTTCGAAGGAACGTTCTCCATCCGCAGACCTTAGGCACGAGGTCGTTGGGCGGCGTGGGAGGGCCTTTCATGGTCGGTGGACACCTAACTTCGATAGGTGAGGACGTGGACGTGCATTCCGATAGGTGAGGACACCTAACTTCGTTCTTGCAG